ACGTTTAAATTTTATCTATTTATTATTTTATTCATTCAACAAATGTCCCAGGCCACTATACTTTTCTATACTACTACTTTCTTTTCTCTGTTCTATACTTCTCCCTTTCTTTTATTCTGTCACTAGAGGTAGCTGTTAGCTTTCTACTTGAGGATGTTTTTCAAAAGAAAATTTATCCATTCACTGCCATGACTGTTGTTGTGCCAGATAAGAGCTATAGAATCATGCTGAGATGCAGGGTTCAGTCATTGGCAAGGTGAGTTGTTGTAGTGGACATATTATCATATTTACAGTTATGCCTAACAAAATGAGAAATTGCTTTGTCTTCAGTATCTCTTGTTGAATCTGGGTAGTCCAAGGAACTAGGTATTTATTGAACTCCACCTAGTAAGGTACTGTAGAGTGGAGGATGGGATGAGCATGAAGTGGGGTTTGAGGGAGAAGCAGGTGGTTAAAAAGGAATAGCTAGACCTAGAGCCTGTTTAGCGGGAACTAACAGTTTAGGAAGGGAGATGAAAAGCATGTGCATAAGAAACCATATTGTAAGGTAGAAGGTGAAAAATGTTTAGAAATTACTTTGAAAATTCAGAATGGGAAGAGATATTTTAAGTTTTGCTGTTTTCCTAGATTTCAGTCTTAACATAGCTTCTTTATAGCCTTAGTTATAGGAGTCCCAGCTAGTCTTCAGATGGTTCTCCAGATTGATTGTTCTGTAATTTAGTTGTAATTTTGATATGGTCATGGGAAGAGATAAGCACAGCATTTACCTACTCTGTCATCTTGATCGGAACTCCCTGGAATATTTTTTAGGGAAGTGGTGAGGAGTATGTGTTGAGTGATAGGGAAGGCCTTTGCCTGAGACAGTGTTTGAACTGGGCTTTGGAAAATAGGTCTTTTTGGACATGGGGAGAGATGGAAGTGGGAAGAAGTCACTATTCTCAGAGGAAGAAATAATGGGATATAAGGTTGGAAAAGTGTGTTAAGGGCTGATTAAAGGTCTTGGTTAAGCATTTGGATTTTACTCTATGGACTACGGGGTGAAGCTACTGAGAAGTGTCAGCCAAGGTAATGACATGACTAGTATTGTTTGAGACATGTTGAAATGGCTACAGTGTAGAAGATGGATTTGGGAGGAAGGGTGGCTAGAGAGGAGGCTGTAGCAATTGATGAGTCCTTTGGTAAGGGGCATTGGGGACTGGTGAGGACTGGTGTGAGAGGGACTACAGAAGGTGTAAAAGACAAGACTTTTAAAACCTGCTTGCATATTGACAAGAGAGCTATCAAATAGGGGTTCTGGGTCTGGATGACTCATGTAATGGCTAGACTGTTAACAGGAAGAAGAGGAACAGATTTGAGAACAAATATCCTGACCGCAGTTTGAACATAGTTTGCCATGCCTAATACACCACTAGGTGGTTATGTCTTCACAGGCAGTTGGAAGCATTTCCAGTCATACTGGTGTGAAAATTAGCCAGTTAGCTAATATTTGTTGAGTATCTCCTATGAAGTGCTATACAAAGTGAAGTTTTGAAAGATCTATAAATGATACCACTGACTTGCAGACAAGACTTAACAGAGTTGAATTACATTCAGGAAAAATGTATTTCATTTCTATTAGGTGCAAGCTACTGTGCTAGGGATGACAAAGTGAGCAAGACACAGTCTCAGCTTTAGTGGAACTTGTAGAACAGAGGGGAAGGCAAAATTTCTCAAAAGAAGCATGCATGTTGTGTGTTATAGTTTACTGAGTTTTCTCTTTTGCATTGATTAATGGCACCACCATCCAGTTGCACTTCAAGTCAATAACCTAGAAGTGATTTCTCCCTAACTTTTCTCCCTAATCTTCAGTCAGTCATCAAATCCTGTGGATCATATAAAGCTGTCACATACGTTTTTTTCCTCTCTACTGTCATTCTCTTTGTTTAGGCTAGTGGTTCTCAACCCGGAGAATCCTGCACATTGGAATCACCTGGGGAGTTTTAAAAAACCCTTACCTTCAACAAAACTTTTTTTTAACCGAGTCAATAGTGAATAAAACCTGGTTTTACTGAATCAGTTTTTTAAACATCTATAACAGTATATATACAAATACATGTGTGTGTGTGTAATTAAGGTCATCTTTCCTATCTAAGAAGTCCAGGTTCTCTGTAACTGGAGTAAAAGGACTTTTTGAAGCAAACTTTGGTTAAATAATGGCTTTTGGACTTTGTCAGAACCTTCAAGTTATGACAGTTAAAATTGCTAGATTTTTTTAAAGGGTGAAAAGTCAAACTATGAAATATCTCTTAGCACCATCATATTTTTAATAATTTCCAAGTGTGTGTGTGTGTGTGTGTGAAGTGGGAGAGTGTAGACTGGCAGGGGTATCTGTCTATGATTCTTACTATTCCTTTGTACTCTGCCAGATAGTATTGCTGTTTTCTTTCTCCTTCCCTCCTTTTTATTAGGATATGTGAACTTGAATTCTCAACAGTAAATATATCTACTTATTTCTTATTCTCCATTAAGCAATTTTCTTATATTTAGCACACTTGATAAATGAATATTCAGTAACCCCAGTGAAAGAAAAATTCCATCTCCATTATGACAGGTTTAGAAAAATAGTGGTGATATTTTATCACCAGTGAAGAGCCTGTCTATTCTGATGCCAACAAGGAAGATAGTGTTTTCTGGGAAGATGACACTTCGATGAAAAATTGTTATGTGAAAGACCTTAATATGTGCTTGAAACGAAAATTATTCTCAAAACCACTGCTTTTACAATCTTTTTAAAATCTTTAATGGACAGGGTTTATATAGAGTAGAGATAGTTTAGTCTTTAAAGCATTGTACAAAGAACACTAATTCACTGCTAAAGTTGGGGCTAGAATGTATGAACTATGAATGTCTAGAGAAAGGAAATATCAGGATTTTGTTAATCTAAAAAGACTTAATGAATATAGTGTAGATTAGAATTGGAGTAGAAAGAGGAGAGTAGAAATTCTATTTATGATAGGGAATGGAAAGAACATTTAATTCCTGGGTTAATTAGTAATAATAAATATTTATTTGCTGTCCCAATATTGGAACTGAAATTAGGCAGCATAGTACAATAGGATGAGTATGGGCTTTGGTTTAAGATTTTAAATCTTAAGTTGGTCTCTTGCTAATTGTATAATTTTAAGCAATTTTAAGGGTATTATTTAATCTAAGTGAATTCTATTATTAAGTACTGTGGTACTTTGAGTGTGTTGGTTAGAACTTGAGATAACGAAGAATTAATTGCTATAAGAGACTAAAAATATTCCTCTTTTCTCTTAATTGCAAAATATTACAAGAAACTGTACAGTTTGTTTATAAAACTTGTTGACATCTAGCAAGAAGCTGCTAAAGCTTTAAAATATACAGAATTCTTTTGTTTATAAATGTAGATGTATTAGTTTCTTATGGCTGCTATAATAAATTTCCATAAACTATGGCTTAAAACAACAGAAATGTATTCTCTTGATTCTGGAACCAAGAAATCTAAAGTCAGTATCATTGGGCTGAAGTCAAGGTGTCACAAGAGACATACTTTTCCTCGAGGTGAAAGTCTGTTTCTTCTTCCAGCTTCTTGTGGCTGTTGGCATTCCTTGGCTTGTGGCTGCATCACTCCAGTCTTCAAGGCCGGCATTTAGAAATCTCTTTCTATTCTGTCTTCATATAACCTTTTTCTCTGTATGTCAAATTTCCCTCTGTTCCTTTTTATAAGAATACATGTAATTGCATTTAGGGCCTACCTATGTAATCTGGGATAACCTCCCTCTCAAAATCTTTAATATAAACATACCTACAGTGACCCCCTCCCCCCCTCCTTTTTTTTGCCATATAATGTAACATTTACCAGTTCCAGGAATTAGGACATGGATATTATGGAGGTCATTTTTCAAGCAATGCCATGTAATTTGACCTATTAAGTGATAATATTTCTAAAATTCCTTTGTGTGCAGTTTCTGAATGCTCAAAGACCACGCCACACAATTCAAAATATTGCTGATGGAATACAAAGATAAATAAGACATTTCCTACCCTCAAGAAACTTCTTAGTGGAAATAGAGTGCCTCAGTAGGAAACTTGTACTTTTGTAAGCAGTGGGTAACCAGCTGAAGTTTGGTTATTTGAGCTGTGTTTTAGGAAGATTAATCATGATTTGTGTAGAATAGAATGGAGAGGGGAAGGATCAGAAGGATGACTGGTTACATGTGTGTGAATGATGCTGAGGCCTCAAGGAAATGTTGATGTGATGTTTAGAAAAGAAGAAAGATGTCATGATACATCCCCAAGGGATATTAACCATTGAAGCATAATTGACAAGCAATAAAATCCACCACTTTTAACTCATCACTTGACAGATATTTACAGTAGTGTAAACACCACCACAATCATGATATGGATCATGTCTATAATCTTAAAAAGTTGCCTTGAACTCCTTTGCAAGTCAGTTCCATTTCGCTGGCCTTGACAACCACTGATCTGCTTTTCTATCGCTATAGTTTGTCTTCTCTACAGTTTTACATGAAAGTATACAGTATGTAGTCTTTTGTGTCTGGCTTCTTTCATTTAGCATAATGCTTTTGAGGTACTGTGTTGCATGTAGTCTGTTCCTTTTAATGGCTGAGTAGTATTCTATTACAGTCATGTGCTGCTTAATGACGGGGATACATTCATCATTAGGCGATTTTTGTCATTGTGTGAACATCATAGAGTACACTTATAAAAACCTAGATGGTATATAGCCTACTATACACCTAGGCTATATTGTATAGCCTATTGCTCCTAGGCTGTAAACCTGAATAGCGTGTTACTGTACTGAATACTGTAGGCAATGGTATTTGTGTATCTAAACATAGAAAAGGTACAGTAAAAATACTATATAAAAGATAAAGTGAGTGTGTGTGTGTATGTTTAGAGACAAGCAGGAGGCAGGTTCCCAGGCCTCCTCTTCCCCTGCCCACTCCTCTCCCTCCCTTACCAACTCCTGGCCCCAGTCACAGGTGGACCCAGGGCAGTTAGAACATGCTTAGCCTTCTCATCTATTTAAATCACCCAGAGTTAGCAGTAAATTCAGCATTGTAGCCAGGTCCAGCCTTTTCATTCAACATCACAAACTTAGATATGTGTTTATGTGTTTACATTTACAGTGGACCATCATTGTGTATGTGGTGCATTGTTGACCGAAATGTCTTTAAGTGGTCCATGACTGTGTATATACTGCAATTTCTGTTTATTCGCCAGCTTGACATTTCAGTTTCCAGATTTTATGTACATTTTTTTTTCACTTTTCTTGGGTAAATAGCTGGAAGTGAAATTGTTGGGTCATAAGGCAAGTGTATGTTTATCTAATAAGAAACTGTCAAACTGTTTTCCAAAGTGGCTGTGTAGTTTTGCATTCCCATTAGCAATTATGAGAGTTCTAGTTCTCCACATCTGTGCCAATATTTTTTAATTTTAGCCATTCTGGTGGGTGTGTAGTAGTATCTCATTGTGGTTTTGATACTCATTTCTTTAATAACTAATAATGTACATCTTTTTATGTGCTTTTTTGCCATGCATTTATTTTCTTTGAAGTGTTCAATTTTTGGCTTCTTTTATTGGGTTATCTTATTATTTTTTTCCCGTCTTTAATTCCCTTCCTCTCTCTTCCACCCCTGACCTATAGATGTTGCCGTTTTCCCTTAAGAACTGGATTGCTGAAGGTGGGGTGTCTCCTCTCACACGCTTGCGGCATCTACCCGGGGCCTGGCGCACCCAGGGTCTGGCACACCCAGGGTCTGGTCCGTGGCTCCACCTGGGGCACGAACTGAGGACCTTCTGCATGTAAAGCAGACGTGCTAACCACTACATTATGGAGCCACCCCGTCTTATTATTATTCAGTTGTAAGAGTTATTAATATAGTCTTGGTAAATTGTCTTTTGGATATGCGTGTTGCAAATATTTTCTCTTTGTCTTTGGCTTGACTATTCGCTTTCTTGTGTGTCTTGAACAATTTTTAAAATTTGATAATATCCAACTTTTTTTCATGTCATGTTTTGTACAGTTTATATAGTTTGCCTCATCTGAGGTCACTAATAGTTTTTCTATGTTTTAGTCTAGAAGTTTTATAGTTTTTACCCTTACATTTAGATCTGTGTGAATGTTCACTTTTCCCCCTTTGGATACTCAGTTGTTCCAGTCTCTTTACCCTTTCCTCACTGAAGTGCTTTGGCACTCATGTCAAAAATTTGGCTATATATGTGTAGGTCTGTTTCTGGATTCTATTCTGTTCGGTGGCTCTGTATGTCTTTTCCCCCCAGCTTTATCATAATACAGTAGACAATTAGTTGCTCGTATTTACATTGTACAAGTCAATGAGTTTTTTTTTTTCCAATTATAGTTGGCATACAATAATATACCAGTTTCAGTTGTACGGCATAGTGATCAGAGATTCACGTAACTCACAAAGCAGTCACCCACTAAATCTAGTACTCCTCTTCCCTCTTACATATTTATTACAACATTATTAACCATCTTCCCCATGCTAAACTCTACATCTCCATGTCTGTTCTGCAACTATCCATTTGTACCTCTTAATCCCTTTGCCTTTTTTTCTCTAATTCCCCCAGTCCCCCTCCCATCTAGTAGCCCTAAAATATTCTCTGTAACTACATGTTTATTTCCGCTTTTATTGTTGATTTTGTCCTTTAGATTCCACATGTATGTGAAATACTGCGATATTTGTCTTTCTCTATCTGACTCATTTCATTCAGTGCAATACTCTTTAGGTCCATCAAGGCAATATCTTGGTTTCCATTCCCTTCCTTTCGGTGTGCATGTTTCTTTTAATCTGAAGTGTGTCTCCTGTAGGCAGCATAAGTAGGGGTCTTGTTTTCTTATCTATTCAGCCACTCTATCTTTTGGTTGGAGCACCTAATTCTTTTCCATTTGAGATACTTGTTGATAGGAATGTAGTTATTACCACTCTTTATTCCTGTTTTGATACATGATTTTGCTTCTCAAAGAACCCCTCCAACATTTCCCGTAATACTGACTTGGTGTTGATGAATTCCTTTTGCTTATCTTTGTCTGGGAAGCTCATTATCTGTCCTTCGACTCTAAATGATAGCTTTGCTGGATAAAGTATTGTTGGTTGTAGATCCTGGGTTTTCATCACATTGAATATGCTGTGCCAAGCCTTTCTGACATGCCAGTCTTATGGGTGCTCCCTTGTAGGGAACTAACCGTTTTTCTCTTGCTGCTTTTAAGATTCTCTTTGTATTTAACCTTTGGCATTTTAATTATGATGTGTCTTGGTGTGGGCCTCTTTGGGTTCCTTTTTCTTGGGACTCTGAGCTTCCTGGGGTTGTATGTCTATTTCCCTCACCAGGTGAGGGAAGTTTTCCATCATTATTTCTTCAAATAGCTCTTCAACGTCTTGTTTTCCTTCAGGTACTCCTATGACACAGATATTTTTACATTTAATAGTGTCCGTAGGCTCCTTAAATTATTATATTCTTGGCTTCTTTTTTCTTGCTCTTCTGCTTGGATGTTCTTGGCTTCTCCATCCTTTATATCGGTGGTTTGATCTTCCTCTTTATCCACTCTGTTGATTCCCTCTAATATACTCTCCATCTCAGATCATGTGTTCTTCATTTCTGACTCGTTCTCTTTTATAATTTTCATTTTTTATTTTATGTTTTTATCTCTTCGTTAAAGTTCTCACTGAGTTCGTCTACACTTCCCCTCAGTTCATTGAGCATCTTAATAACCAGTGTTTTGAGCATCTGTTATGTTAGATTGCTTGACTCCATTATTCTGGGGTCTCTGTTCTGTTCTCTCATATGGTTTCTGCTTCTTTGTGTTCCCATTTTGGCTACCTTTTTCTGTGTCCGTTTCTGTGTACTAAGCAAAGCTCCTAAGTCTGCCGGTCCTAGTAGTGTGGCTTTGTGTAGTTGGTGTCTAGTGGCACAGTCCTGAAAGGGGTTCAGCTGCAGGCCAAGTTTAGCCCCAGCCCGTGCCTCTCCGAGGCCACCTGTTAAGATTCAACAAACAATCTCCAGATGCAGTGCTTATAGTTGCCTCAAGAAACCACACTGGAAACCGAGGCCAGCTGCTGCACCAGTGTGGCGTCTTGGCACTGCTCAGCAAGGAGCACCTGAATGGATGAGGACACACCTGAATGTGGCTAGAGTGGGGCCAGGAGTTGAAGGGGGCAGAGTTTCAGGGAATCTTCTGGGCGGAGTGACCTCTGTTATCCAATTTGATGACATCTTGGTTATGGCGGTGCTGTGTCCGCACACTAGGAGGGTGGAGGGTTCTACAGAGTAGCGATGGACACTGCAGGCACTACTGTCCAGGAGTGAGCCTCGCCTCCGGCTCTCACTCCGACAACTCAGTGTCCTCTTGTAAGTCCCTGGTGTTCCCTGCAGAACCAACCCGGCGTTGGTTGTCAGAGCAACAGGTCCGTCACTGCGAAAGTCCTCTCGTGGACACGGCCTCTTTAAGAGGCTTCTGCTGCAGCCCCTACCACAGCCTCAGTCCCACTCAGCCACTGGGACTGGGCAGCCTTGTGTCTTCCCCCTTCCTACCTTTTACCATTGCAGGTTGATTAATTATTTCTCTCCCAAGCCATAGTGCTTCTGTTCGTCTAGATCGCAGTAGACTTTCCTTTGTGTTTGCTCTGTGTTTCTGTCACAACTTGGATTTGTTCACAAGAAGGATGGACAAAGCCTCTGTCATCTGTGCCACCTTTTTTCTCCCCGATTGCTCTGAATGTCTCTTGATGTCAATATATTGTCCCAATTACTGTGGCTTTATAACAAGTCCTGAAATTGAGTCATGTAAAGTGCTACACCTTTCTCGTTTTTTTTTCCCCCAAAATTATTTTGCCTATTTTAGGTGCTTTGCATTTTTATTTAAATTTGAGAATCATCTTGTTTAGTTCTACAAAGAAAATCTGAAACTTTAATTGGGATGGTGTTGAATCATATGTAGATCAATTTGTAGAAAATTGATATCTTAAAAATATTAAGCCTTCCAATTCATGATTACTGTATAATTCTCCATTTACAGTCGTCCTGCGGTATCCTCGGGGGATTCATTCCATGACCTCTGTGGGTACCAAAATCGACAGGTGCTTAAGTCATTTATAAAATGCCACAGTATTTTTCATATAACCCACATTGCATATAGGTTACAGTAGGGCATGCCTACACATCACTTCATTTTTGTGCATTCAGTGTAGTGCTTGGTGCATGGCAAATTCAAGTTTTGCTTTTTCGAACTTTCTAGGTTTTTATATTCTCAAATATTTTCATTTCGCAGTTGGTAGAATCCACAGATGTAAAACCCACGATATGGAAGGCCAACCTTATTTAGGTTGTCTTTAATTTGTCAACAATGTTTTATAATTTCAGTGTGCAGGCCTTGCAGGTTTTTTGTTAAATTTATCCCTAAGTATCTTATATATTTGCTGTACTATTATAAGTGAATTTTCACAGCCTGTACAGCCAGAACTCTCAAATCTGAATAAAAATTAAAGTGGAAGCAGGAAGAGGAGTTTGATTTGAGGAAGATGTTAAATTTGCTTTTGAGCTTGTGTTTGTAGTACCAGTAGGTTATCCTTCTAGCAGGAGCTATTGAGAGAGTTTTGGAGCCATTTACATAGAAGTGACAATAAAATATGGGTGTGCTTGAGACCTCAAAGAATGGAAATTTGGAAAAAGTTTGATTCTAGGACTGAACCTTGCAGTACTGCTTCCTTTTAGAGAGTAGTCAGAGTAGACTGTAAGAAAGGTAGGAAAAAAAAGTGAAGAGTAAAGTTAGTAAGTCAGAATCAAAAGAATTTCAAGAATGGGCTGATTAAGAATTGGACACTGCAGAGATGTTGAGGACCTTGAAGGATAAGGAAAAGGTAACTGCATTGGTGATTTTATCGTGACTGAGACCCTGTTAGGATAATGATACGAAGTCAAGTTTCAAAAGATTGGGGAGGTAAGGAAGCCAAGTTTCAAAAGATTGGGGAGGTAAGGAAGGAAGCAGTGACTAAAGAGGGGTTCCTTCAAAAATTGGAGAAGGAAGAGAGCATGATAGACAAGGAATCACTGTAATCATGTGGTAAAGTTTATTTGGAATAGAGCATGTTTGTAAGGGTAATGAAGTGAGCCTGGAGAGAAGGATATCTTAGAGATGCTAGGGCTATTTTAGTCACACAGGTTCTGGTAAGGGAATGCGAGAGGATATAGAATTCTAGGCATTTGGAGCAGATTGACTGTTTTCTTCCCTTTTCATTTGGTTCTGGCTATCATTACCAACATCTAGAATGGGTTGGTAAACTATGGCCTTTGGCTAAATCTGACCTGAGACTTGTGTTTATATAGCCCTTGAGCTAAGAATCATATATGTATATGTATGTGTATGTATATAGATATATGGATTTTATATATACATATAAAATGGTTGATGAAAAATCAAAGGAAGACTATATCATGGCATGTGAAAATGGTGTGAAATTCAATTTTCAGTGTCCATAAATAAAATTTTTTTAGGGGAGAGAATAGCCAAGATCATTTATTTATGCTTTTGCATTAAACAGCAGAGTTAAGTAGTTGCCACAGAGACTGAGGCACAGAGAGCCTAAAATATTTACTATCCAGCCATTCACAGAAAGTTTGCCAACTCTTGACCTAGAAGGATCATTGTTGGTTCTTTTTCTGTCTC